CACTCCCAAATCCCAGAGTTAGCGCGCTGTCTTAAAGGGCCAGCGCACTCACAAAACCCACCGGGCCAGGAAACTGCGTTACATCCTGAGGGCTTGGATTGTGTTACATTTCTATTTCCTTCAGCCTCTTCTCCCAGCAGATACAAGCATGTTGAAAGTGTCTTTTTAATAGCCAGTAGTTGAAGTCAGGAAGAACAGTGGAGAGTTCAGAAAGAGATACAATGAGATGCAATGTTTCAAGTTAAAAATAAGTTGCATAAATTACTCCACTATTTTATTTAATCCAGTATTTTTGAAAGATGTGCTCTGATAAAAGTCTTACATGTTAACACATTCAAAAACCAACAATGAAAGAGAAAACTACAAATGCAATGAAATGAAAGCGTTAAAAGTCAATTTAAAAGTTGAAACACAACAGAATAACATGAGAAACATGTTATTCTGCTCAGTTCTTGGCGAGCATATATTTGAGGCATACATCACTTAACACATCGTTGTTTTTAAAAGTAATAACGTTTATTTACAGGCTGCTTGACTGCCTTCAATCCAAGCTTTCACCATTCGCTTACATCGTCCCATTCTCTACAGTCAATCTGGTTTGCAAAGGGAAATCATATTGTCCATGTTTTCTGCGGCCCTTTAGTATAAAAACAACCACCAAAATTGCAAAGACTAGCAGGACTAGTAGGAAAACCCACCAGTGCTGGGAGAGGTCTGTGGATTTATCTGCAAGAGAAGAAAAATAAAACAGCTGAAACATCTGTTTGCATTTTTTTTTTCATCCTTTGTGATATTAGCAATATTACTCCATTTTTTTCCTGCACAGAATAATACCTTTTAACACCAGAGTGGTTGCTCTTGTCACTTCCCCAACTTTATTCGTGGCAACGCAGATGTAACGGCCTGCATTAGTAGACGTGGCTCCTGTGATGGTTATGATCTTCTGGCGCCCCACAGTGGACGCCCGTACATTCTCTGCCAACGAGTCGTTACAGTGGATCTCAGGCTTGGGGTTCCCGTCAGCTTCCCAAACTAAAGACACATTTCCGCCTACAACAACTTTTGTGGTCGTATCTGACTCTGTGAACTCTGGGGGATCTATTGCATGGAGAGAAAAAATAAAAGACTTCTGAAATCAAGTTGAAATTGTTTGTGGCCATAGTGGGCTTAAAGTAAAGAGAGGGCAGCTGCAAAGTTTTGACTTACACAATATGTCCAGATAAAACGCGTGCTCAGCTGTTCCATGTTTGTTGGATGCTTTTACTGAATAGTTTCCACTCTCATGTTTTTCCCAGTGCTGTGGAAAGTGCTCTTTTCCATTTTTAAACCAAGTTATGTCAGGGTGAGGTAAACCCTCTGCATTACACAAAAGTTTCGGTGTGTTTTTTACTTCAACCTCATACATCATCTGACAGGAAAGTCTGGGGGCATCTGTAAAGAAACATCATAAATATTATTCAGAATAATCAACGTTTTTTTTTTTTTTTTTTTGCATTATTGTAATAAAATGTAAAAGTTCCATGTTGTAGACTCACATTCAACTGTGATGTTAACATCAGTGTTAACCTGTCCCATTGAGTTATGTGCTGTAGCTTTGTAGATCCCAGATTCAGCCCTGGTAAGGAGCTTGGATGAATCAATCAGTGTACCATTGTAAGACCACTCAATACCAGGTCGAGGGTTCCCATCAGTTTCACATGGCAAATCATTCAGGCGGAAGCTATTTTCCACACCAGCATAACTAGGGCAATTTTTGATGGTCGGCTTATCTGCAGAAAATATAGAATTCAGTTATCTAAACATTACTTGGTAGGTACAAAAATATAATGCGATGAAGAACCTACAGTGTACGACAGTGGTGTAAGGTTCTGAGGCCATGGAGGGGGGCACCAGTGGCCCCGCAGGGCCAAACTGAAACTCAGCCTTGCATCTGAAAAGTGATCCATTGTCACTTTTCTTGACAGTGAAAGTATAGATAGACGATACATTGCACAGTCTCACAGTGGAGTCATTAAGGCATTCTGGGAGTGGCGTCACATCAGAGCTTTTTAGGTCATCATTGAGGACAGTTTCGTCGTCTTTATACCACTTCACCAAGAGTTTTTTTGCAGGGGCCACACTGTAAATGTGGCATTGCAGCTGATGCTCTTCGCCTTCTTTCATTGGACCATTACCTACCGCAGAGATTGCCACAGTATCTGGAAGCTCTATAAAAAACAAAATAAAACAGTACAACTTATAATATTTCCACCACTGAGTGGAAAAGTTTAAAGGCTAAAACATTTAAAAGCAGAAGGCGTGGTGAATACTCACTATAAAGAGTGATGTTTGGTTTCACTTTGCACTGTTCATCAGTATCCAGAGTGACAAAGCAGAAAGGTTCCACAGTGAAATCTTCCAGTTTCTCAATCTTCCAAGTGACACTCGGAGGTGTACCATAAGTCTCGCCAACTGCATGCTCCCAGTCCATTAAAGCAGCGTCTTTGCTTGTTGTTCTGCAATTAATTGAAGCTGAATCTCCATATTTCACATAAACTTCAGAGGGCATCACAGTTAAGCCACAATCTATTGTTGAGAAGAAAACATTTTGAGTCATAACTTTGATTTGGTGCACAATAAGAAATAAGCCTTTAACAGTAATATCAGTAAGACAGCATACTTTCAGGTGCCTCGGGGGTTGGCATGGCTGGAGGTTCTGTTGTATAATTTTCTTCCATGTCAACAAAAATGTTCATAGTTGTGTTTCCCAGAATATTGGTAGCTGTGCACCTGTAATTTGAACTGCTGTTAACCTGGGTAATGTCAAGCCTGTTTGTGGTTTCTAGCATAGGCTGTTCATCAATGGTCCACTGATACACAGGAGGAGGGTTCCCCTCTACATCACAGAGCAAGGTTGCATTGCCACCCATGGCCACAGTGATGATCTTGCTAAAATTTGTCCTGAGCTCAGGAGCATCTAAAAAAAAAGAAAGAAAGAAAAAAAAAAAGAAAATTTGTGTTGGTTGAAATTCTAATAAAGGCCTTTTGGAACCGATCATTTTAAAAAGATAATATTATTTCACTCACAGCGCGCTGAGAGTTGATGTGTTGTAGAAATAACAGGATGTTGTGGTTTTAGTTCCTCAAGTTTCAATTGAACTTCACATCTAAACTCAGCAAATTTCTCTTCCCGGCTGATGTTGACGCCCAGAATGTAAGATTTTTTTTGTGGCTCTTCAATCAAATCCATAAAGGACTTAAAGGTTTTATTATTTCTGTACCACGTGACAGAGATGTTTTGAGCAGGGGCAACATCAAAGACATCACAGTGCAGTTCGTAATCTGCCTGCTTTGCATTTCCATTCCTTAAAGAAAGCATAACCTTTGGGTTCTCTAGAAAATAATAATAATAATAAAATTCTGTTAGTGTTCATAGTTAGACGTTTCTCTGCAAAGCTTTTGTCTCTAGTTGAAAAGAAACTTACTGTACACGGTGACTCTATGGTCTTCACTGCACTCAAAGGTTTCATTTAGCTTTATTTTGCACTCTGCCCTCATTTCAAAGTCTGACACTAATGCAACACAGGAAACAACATCATCCTTCTGTGTATTTTCACAGCATGTTTTTCCAAGGCATAGGCTCATCTCCTCAAAATCTATTTCTGTGGTGCTGCAGCTTGCATTAAGTTGTGTTCCATTTTCTGTGATCACAGGAGCATCCAAGGTCAGGATAGTCGTCGGGATGCAGGTGAGATCAGCCCCTGTTGATACAGAAATTATTATACGAAATAGTATTTGATGCCTTCTGGTGGTACTGGTTATGCTGCACCTGTTCTGCCACCTTTTCTAAAGTTGACAGAAAAGGTGCAAATTCTGATATTCGTTTTGGTTTAAATGATACAGAAATGCACATTTGACAAAATAAATAATTCTCAAATTAAATTGGCAGACTACAATAAACGAGTGATTGTTCTTAAACTGTCTAAGTCACCTTTGTGTGATCTTAACACAAAGGTGTTTAAAGAATATAGGAAATGCCTCCTTAAGTGCAGCTAACAAAAGAAAGGCAAATTTATAGATGATTTATTTTTGATCTATGAAAGCTCAAAGCATTCAAAAAGCAGTCTCATTTGAGTACATGTATTTCTGGAGCTATAAACTGCAGATAAGTGTTCTTGTACAGTCAAAGTAAAATATACTTTATCACCACACCCAATTTCTGCAGAAAGCCCAAGTTATATGTTTAACTTTAGGTGATATACAAGTGTTTTAACACCTACCCCTCCCACTAGAATTACACAATTTCACTCCTAGAGAACAGAGAAAGACATTAACTTTGTAAGACTTCATTCTCACAACCACCAGTTATCAAAGTTGTAAGAAATTATTTCTTTAAGCTTAATTGTCTTTAACAGAATTTTTTTCTATTTCTACACAGCAGTCAGTTGCCTCAAAGAGAAACTTAATCAAAAAGTCATAAAAATTAAAACTAAAAAAATATATACCTCAACAGCACATCCTTATCCCTACAATAGTAATAAACAAAACTTTAAAATAGTACGACGCAATCATGCAGCTTCACTACACTATTTCCACTCACCACAAGATAATAATGAGAGCAGGAGGAGGCCCAACATCCCGAGAGGCAGCTTGCCAGACTGACTCACAGGTGGATGGGAGTTCATGAAGGAGGTGAAAAGTAATTAGGGACAATCCAAAGAATGATAGGTTTTGTAGCTGGATGAGATAAATCCTGACCAAAAACTGGCCCAGCACGTGCTGACAGCTGAACAGCTACTATCGGAAAAAGAAAGCATACTACCGGGTAAATAAGCCGCCCTCTTGCACAGGAAACAGGAAAGGCTGGTGCAACCGTTCTTTTTTTCTCTCCACCCTTTGTGTAGCTTCTGATGAGGTTTTGTTCGATGAAACTCTGGTGAATGAGATTGTGTGGCACAAAATTTCATAGCAAAGATGTAAACGTAATTTGTAAAATAAGTTTGCAGAGTTTTGAGTGGACATCAAAGCATTTTTTTATTGTGTTTATTCTTAAGATACAAGTACAATATAGGTTTTGATGAATAGTGCCTTCTCTTGAAAATGATTGAACAAGCTGACCAGTCAAAGCCCTATAGCTTACTTTAAGAGACTAATGCTATTGCAAAGAAGTAAATCTTTCTTTGCTTTAAGATTTCTAAGATATCTGAAGGTCCAAACTGTTGTCTAAATGCTAATCCAATGACTGTGTTGGTACATACTAGAAAACATCATACAGGTTCTTTTTGATTAAACTAAAGTGACTCACTGACCACTTATGGTAGCCAACAGAAATAAGAAATCTGGTGATGTGGCATGAAATCAACAATCTATCTCCATGTAACAATAAAGCCAGAGATGACTATGGAGAGAAGCAACAATTTTAAAAAGAGATAGAGGAAGAATGATCTAATATGTAAAAATATTTTAAAAAATATTCTAACCACATTCTGTAGTTGCATCATTGAACACATTCTGACCAACCAAACTGCTGTGTAGAGCTGAGGCAACAACACCAAAAATGTCAAGCAACCACAGCGGGATCAGGGCACCAGAGAAAATTGTCTAAGTCCACAAACAGCAATGTGCGAAAAGTGTTTTTGCTTTGAGTGCAGCCTCTTTCAAAAACTTGAGTCAGATATATCTGAGCAGAGAGAGAAGGAAACATCTGAGTCACACTCATGACTTAGTCATCACTTGTAACTGATTTATGTCAATTAAGACATTTGTGTTAAAACATTTATATAACTATACATTTTATTCATAATGTTTAACTTTCTCTGCATCTTCTTTATCCTTGTCAGTGTTATCTTTGTGAGTTCCTGCAGTAATGCAGCTATGTGGGTTTGATCATCATGGAAACTTTCTTCAGGGAATAGGACCCTCCATGGAACTCAGCCCAGTAGACCCCATCTTGGTAACGGCTTCGATAGTGTCCACCCCTATACCACACACCGTTCAGATTGGAGTGTGCGCACATGTGATACCACCAGCCTCCTTTCTGGTAATGAGCACAGTTACCTGAAGATGCGCAAAACACAGTTATTGACACAAAAAGTCAAATCATTTAAGAAAACTGCTAGGCAGAGACAAGATGGGGACAGACCTGGATAGCTGTCCCTGTCACGGTCCAGAGTGGTGAAGGCCTTGTTGTTGTGCCATGACAGGGAGTCTCCTGCATTGCCTTTGTATTGTCCCAAGCGCAGGCGATACCAGTCATTCTCCGGTTCCAGGTGGAAGCTGTCATATTCAGCAAACACCTGCCGGCCCTGCCAGTCTTCTAAGACCACCCGGAGTTTGTACTTGGTCTGCTGGGTGAGCCAGTACAGGTGTTCCAGGCCAAGCCAGTACTCACCATTTAGGTTTCCAAAGCCTTGCTGTAACAACGTAATGCAAAAAAAATTAGGCTCAATTTCTATAACTTTTCCTTAAGTAATCTAATACACCTCATAAATCACTCATTTCTAATACATCTGTCTGTTTATCTATCTATCTATCTATCTATCTATCTATCTATCTATCTATCTATCTATCTATCTATCTATCTATCTATCTATCTATCTATCTATCTATCTATCTATCTATCTATCTATCTATCTATCTATCTATCTATCTATCTATCTATCTATCTATCTATCTATCTATCTATCTATCTATCTATCTATCTATCTATCTATCTATCTATCTATCTATCTATCTATCTATCTATCTATCTATCTATCTATCTATCTATCTATCTATCTATCTATCTATCTATCTATCTATCTATCTATCTATCTATCTATCTATCTATGTGGTTCTTGTTCTAAACTCATTGTGTTTTTCAGACTTCAAAGTTGTTTGGCGTTACCTTATACTGCTCCCAAGTCCTGAAGAAGTTGACTGACCCATCCTGTCTCCTCTGAATGACAGTCCACCCACCCTGAGCCTGACTCTGCTCACACCAGGCCTGAAAGAGTCGGTTGGCACTCTGAAGATGAATCAGCTGAATCCCACTGGTGGTCTCGCCTGAATCCATAACATGCTGGCAGTCCCGCCATGGCCCTAAACAAAAGAGATGCACAGTATGCAACCAATATAATGCTGTTATAATACCTTGCACAATAATTCATCATGTGTTTTATTGCGATATGTGACTGGCCAACAGAGAGTGGTGTGATTGTGAAATAGTACTAGTACTATTTCACTCTCTGTTACCAGGTTTTCTAAATTGTATACAAGTACAAATCGGATTTGTTCAGATGAATGCAGTCCCTCTACATTAAAGCTTTCAGAGCCAAATTTAAAGTCAACACTGGCATATTTACTGCTTCTCTAATTATTGCTCTCCTTGTCCATCAGATCAGGGAAACTTCAAATGTTTATTATATGAACTAACCCTGTTTTAAACTTCTTTTCTAACAATCCTCTGGGACCTTTACAAGATAACTATTTTCATTCTGAAATTAAATTACACAAATTAAGTTACACCTGACTAATTAGTGAAATGGTTGCACTAGATTTCATTTTGAATATTAGTTTTGGGTGAACACTTTTCACTGGGGTGCTGTTGACCCCAGTGAAAAGTGTTTTATTTTGTGCTACTGCTCTGACATTTTTGGGCCCGAGCAGCGAAGCAAAACAGTTCAATGGTGCCACCTAGCAACTTTCAAAAAAATCCTCGTTGACCTTATTTCATCATACAGACATGAAATTTGGTACACTTGCAGAGTCCCTAAGACGCACAAAAAATACAATTAATGTCTTATTGCAAGTCAAACAGGAAGTTTGCTATTTTGCATTGAAGTTCCAATTTTGACCCCATTGAACTGATTGAACTCCTCCTAGGGATCAAATTATTCATAAGGCATGGTCGATTAAAAGTTATCAACATAGTGAGTTTTCATGCATGCTGAAGGGGTGTTGCCAGGGGTCAAAGTTCACCTACTAGCCATGAAACACAAAACTGTTATAACTCCTACACAAAAACTCACAGAGGTACCAAACTTTCAGTCATTGATCATCATCGGGTGTTCTACAATATCCAACGGTCAAATGATGACATCACTTAAGCCACGTATGTGTGATTACAAGAGGAGAGAAAAATAAGCCCGATGTTCCTGAACCCATACCCTCAGGATTTGAACCGGTTTGCTGTTCTTTACTAGAGTCCTGCTGAAGTCAGATGGCTTAAGGGAAAGCTAAAAACTGCACTAAAATCACACTTTTATTCACAAAATAAAAATTAACATATCTTCTTTTTTTAATTGACAAAGTATATCTCTAAATATTTATGAAATAATTTGTAGATGTTTTAGTTGCACATAATTGTGGATTAGTTGTGCTGGTTTCTGTTCTGTGGACTAAAATCCAAGTTTGGGGTTGGTAGAGAAAAACACTCTGCAGCTTCCATTTATCTTCTTGGACGTGGGGAATTTGATAAGGTGAACATAGGAATCTGCATGTATACACTGAAGAACAACTCCCACACAGTGAAATACTATACTAAATAATGACACTTTAATGCAAAGTTGATTCTTTTAATTGACTTTTAATGTAAGTTTTAATGCAACTTTGCATAAAAATTTAGTTATTTAGCAAATAATACTAAGTTGACACTTTTAATGCAAGTTTTAGTGCATCATTATTTACCAAAAGACACTTAATGACACTAGTCATAAACATTCATGAAGACTTATTCATGTTCATAACAGGTGTTATGCGATGTTTATGACAGAGTAACGTTAGTCTTATGCACACCCCTTCAAATAAAGTGTTACCCTCTCTTTTATCACACTTAGGAACAAAAAAAAGAGCTGTGGTCGCTTTCTCTCTACTCAATCTTGAAATAGTTTGTACAGTTGTCTGCTAGATGTGGAATATAAAACACCAGAAAATACTGTGGAACAACTGTGTGTTCATGACAGAGGCCGTGTTCTGCTTGGTGTGTTTGACATTGTTTAGGTTTTCCCAAGAAGATAAGACCTCCATCAGCAGGTCACTGACTCCACCAGCTTCTGCTTCTTATCTGAGAAAATAAATAACTCCGACAGAAGTAAGACCTGTTTATGCACAAAATTTGTAGTTTAATCAGATGCTCTAAAATGTGCTTTATGTTGTTGTACCTGGGGATTTAGTGACAGGGAAGCCAACGAAAGGCAGTTCAGTAGGAGGGACAATAGTAGAAAAGGGTTGATCCCCGACTGTTTCTGCTTGCAGTTGATGTACAGAAGCACTCTGGTCCCTCTGGACGTCATTTGTCAAGATGGTGGCCTTAACGCTGAAGTTGCGGTGCTCATTACTAGGATTTTTGGGGGGTTCAGTCATCGCCTGTCCAGACTAACACAAAATAACGGCTTCTTATTTGCTGACCTTCAGACAGTTAAATGTTAAATATAAAAAAGCAGCATGTTTCTTACCACCGAGGGCTGGCTGGAATCCCTGCACTGGCACTGTTTCTCCAGTTTGGTGATAAACTGGTTCTGGGAGCTCATCATGGAGGTGAGTGCTCCATATTTCTTCTCCAGTTCCCTGTAACTACTGGACACCTGCAAAGCCTGCAGTTCCCAATGACAAGCAGAAAATATGAAGATGTGCTCAGTATATCAACCAATTGTGAGATGTTGCATTCTATGCAACTCTAGGCTCACATGTGTTGTCGCATTCAGGAGGAGGCTCTCCAACCTTTGGTGCTCCAAAGCTTGGTCCTTCTTATGGATAACTTCACGTAGCAGCTGGGCGTAAAGTTGGGCAATTTGGGAATTCATGCTGCTGCTCTCTTTGCTCAAGGCTCTCACCTCTGTGGCAAGTGTCCCTTCATACCCCATTTGACTCTGGAGCTTCTCCAGTTGTTCCTGCTGTCGTTTGAGCTCCAACTGGAGAGCGACTACCTCTGATTGGTTGGGAATTGAAGAGTGTGTGTTCAAACACAGAGCTCCTGTGATTTTTTGCTGTGGAACAATGAATGTGTAGGAGCAACGCCCTGATTTCAGATGCGAGGCCGCTCCAGCTTTTTTAGAAGACATGCAAAGGATGAAGAAAAGGGTGAGAAATGTTCCCAGTGTCCTATCCATTAATCAGTCGAATATTTGAGGACAACCTGATGGTGAAAGAGGAAGAATGATCACAAAACCAGTCATCTTTGACAGTGTGCATAAAGGGATAAGTTTCTTGAGGATATGCAGAGCAAAATAAGCATTTGCAAATCAACAAAAGGCCTTCAAAAGAATTTAAATGATCACAAAAGTCTGACAGATTTCAATGGATTAAAGAAAATAAAACTGTGATCCTTCATTTTTAAAATGTTTTTTTATAAATGAATATGCTGGGTGTTTTTTCTGAGTTTACTCTTTTGATGTAACAAAAATTAAGGTTCTACCTTTTCCCCTAATGCTATCATCCAAACCAGAGAAGTAAAGAAATGATTTATATCTACATTAGGAAAAATGTTTGACTTTCCCAGAGGTCATCTGACTTCAACTTGCAAGAGGACAAGATGAGATCAAGTGGTGTTATGCTAGTTTATTGTCACCCTCTGTTAAGACAGTATAAACTTATGAGTTCCAGACTCAACAAAATCATTTCTCTTAGAACTAACAAAATGTTCTTTGAATATGTTTAAACTTTTACATTTAATCTTAAGCACAATCAGTTTATGCATGATGTGAAATGAATGTGTTGAAGCAACACAAAACAGGAATGTAAAGAATGGAAACAATAGCATGGGTAGTAAAACTTTAACACTGTAAAGTGTGATAATGGTTACATTAGACATGCAGAAATGTTTAAACATGGATGTGTAAAGGTAATATCAATCAAGTTTTGGTGACCGATGGACCCAAAATAAAATTCTCTTTGGTGTCCCAATAGGGGTGTATTTTGTTAAATTTGGCTAGAATTAAACCTGGTTTGAACTATCAAGCTCTGGTTTTGTATTTTACATTTTATGCTGCAGAAATAAAGGCTTCCCTTACATGCCATTTGTTCTTGCACTCCTCACCTTCCTGAAAATTGGCATATCAACAACAAAAAGGATGACAGTCAACACAAACCAGACGAAACCAACATCCATCCATCTCTGGATCAACAGCACAGATAAGCTGACAACACCATGAGCAAAGCCAACAGGAAACCACTGATACATGATCTTGAAATGCACAGGAGTCTCATTGAAAAATATCCACAGCAATGTTTTATTTGTTATTGAGACAACTGTTGTTGCTCTTTTGCTCTGTTTAACCTTAATTAGAGATACAATATATGCAAAGTTTAAACATTCTTTTGAACAAGGTTGGACATTTTAATAACTTACCTTTGTAAATGAAATATACAACAAATGTCCTTTTCTGTAGCAGCAGCCCAAAGTAATGTTATCTTTTTTAAAAAAGTTTAAAAGTTGCACACTTTGAATGAAAAGCAGTGTGTCTCCACAATCAAATCTGAAAGCGTATAGTTTTGGATCAAATCAGCATGCAGGTTTATCAGAAGCTACATTTGCTCTTGGTTTGCAGAGTTCCTCTTGTGTCAGGATCTCTAAAGAAAGAGACAGGAAATTACAAAGTTTCCTAGTGCCACCGCGTTCCTGCAGGCTCAGCTTTGTACTCAAAGCAGGAATCTGAATGTCTCCTCCCTCTGCCGTCATCTGTTATCCTGCCTCAGCTTACTATTACTATTAGGACAGACAAGAGCACCACGGCATTGTGTTGAAGCTGTAGCTTTGAGCCATACCCACCACTCACTTCATGGATGATGCCAATCTTCAATGAAGGCTAGTGTCATAAAAAAAAAATAAACATTCAGTTCTTAGACGTTTTTGCTCAAATCTTTTTGTTCAAATTAGAGTTTTTGCATTTGTTGCTGTGAATTATACTTGCATCTTAAACCTTAAATCATACATTTATAACTTTCTTGCTATTGTAGGAAATGGGCAAGAATAATCAAAACAAGACATAAATCAGACATACATTGCTTTTGTCTAAACTGTGAGGAGAGATTCTGGTTTTTAGGGCTTGCTCTATTTCATATAATGTAACCTGTGAATGACTGTTTAATATGGATGGGCTGGTGTAAAGTAACATAGACCTATTTTGTTTCTTCCACATATGTATCTTACTCATGTGTATCTATTTCTGATAGATAGAGATGTAAAGCATGCGGTTTCACTAGTGTTGATGTATGTACTTTATTTTATTCAGCAATTTTAAAGCTAAACAGAAGCCAGCTTCATAGACAAACTCTTTATTTTAAGCAGAGAAATTGTTTTTCTCTCCTTAAAATATATTAAGATGTATTAATAGATAATGCAATTTTCTTATTTACTCATTGAACTCATGTACTGTATTTATTTATGTTTTCTGTAATACAATAATGAGTTTGACCTTACCATTCGCTCGTCTTCTGCCCTCTAGTGGTCAAACTATAATCTGTGGCTCGGAACTAGTAAGCCTGATCGAGAAGCACGGACATTTTAGTGTGCTGCACCTAGCGAGAATACCATGTGGAGAGAACGTAGTCCATTTTAAAGCTGATTATTTCAACTTTAGCGGTTTGAAACATTTAGCTGAGGCAGTTTATTTAACCAGTATGGTTAGCTTGTATATACTTTAGCAACTTTTTTCGTGTTTTTGTGGTGAAACCATTTAGTCGGCTTCAAGTTAAATCATGGGGAAATCAAAGGTAAGTGCCAGACATAGCATGGGAGCTAATGGTTAATAACCATTTACATAGACGTGCCAATTGACTTGTCTTTGATAAAAGGCCTTGTTTTATGAGATCCAGCTCTGTTGGAGAGACATTTATGTATATGTGTTGGGTTGTAAATTTGCATCACATTCATTGTCCGCGTTGCGTAAGAAACGCGCGTCTTGGATATTTAACCTCGGTAATGAGCTCTGTTCGTGTTTTCTTTTTCATTAGACTAAAAACCAGAAGAAATCCCGAGCCCAAGCCATCCACGTGGCTGAGAATGCCTACAGGTCTGTGCCCCACTCCTTCGTGTTTCATCGAGGTCAGGTTGGGAAAAACGTGGGTCAACTCGTCCAGGACATGAGGAAAGTCATGCAGCCTTACACTGCAGAGTCTCTGAAGGTCTGTCTTCCTCTTAAAGCCTGATCAGCTCAAGCTTTAACAACCCACTCATTAAGCTTGTAACTTTGTGTTATTTTTAAAATTCAGGTACGGAAAAAAAATCTCCTTAAGGATTTTGTGTCGGTAGCAGGACCCCTGGGGGTGACCCACTTCATTATCTTTGGCAAAACTCCCAACAGCATCAACATGGTGAGAACTGAAGCTGATCACGACCTACATGCAGTTTTCTCACATAAAGACTGCGTCACCATTAGTTTCATTTTCTTTCTCCTTCCAGAGACTCGCTCGACTTCCCAAAGGCCCCACACTTTATTTTAAGGTCCTTAAGGTACGTTTTGTAACATCCAAGTGAAATTTGTCGGGTTTACATGATGACGCACAGAAACTTGATTGTAAAGTGATGTTTTTCGAAGTAAACGCACTGATGAACCCAAGCTACCAAAGCCATTTGATGACCACTTTGAATTATAAATCAATATTTACTCAGTACTTTTATATTTTTTCTTTCCAGTATTCCCTGATCAAAGATGTGGTTTCATCTTTGAAGAAGCACAGAATGCATGAGCAGCAGTTCACCCACCATCCACTTCTCATCCTCAGCAACTTTGGAGTGGATGGCATGCACGTGAAACTCATGGCAACCATGTTCCAGAACATGTTCCCCTCCATAAACGTCCAAACGGTGTGTTTAGTAAAACAAAAATTGTCCACCTCATGATGAGAACGATGTGATGACAGTATAGTCTTCTGAGTATCTGTGAAGATCTCTCAAAAGTAAACGCTATCTGATTTGTTGTTATGAAAATGGGTTTCCAGCATAATACAAGTTTAAGCCTTGGGTATAACTTTTTTTTATTTTTTTTTTATTAGGTTAACCTCAACAGCATCAAGAGGTGTGTACTGTTCAGTTTTGACCCAGCATCCCAGGAAATTCAGTTTCGGCACTAGTAAGTAATGACCTGTTAATGTATTGATCTCATATCAGCATTTTGAAGTGATGGGCTCAGGTGATGACAGATTACGACTTGACACTTTCATGATGCATGTCTAAAGTAAACGCACTGATGAGCCTTCACACTTTGAGACAGAGTTCTGTTATTTATTGAGTTTTTTTCAGTTACAAAGTTTTTGTTATTGTTCTTGTCCTGCAGTAGTCTTAAGGTCGTCCCTGTGGGGATGAGCCGAGGTATAAAGAAGCTAATGCAGGAAAAGTTCCCCAATATGAGCAAGTTTGAGGATATCGCTGAACTGCTGGTGAAGTAAGATTCTTTTACTTCTCGTGGCACTGAGAAAAGTAGATTGATTCCATTTTACAAAAGTAGAAATTTATCTGAACTCTGTATTTAACAACGCTTCAGGGGAGCAAACTTGTCTGAAAGTGAAGCTGAGCAGGATGGCGAGCACAACATAACGGAGCTGCCGCAGATGTATTCCGGAAGAGGCAACATGCCGTCCCAACAGAGCGCTGTCCGTTTGACCGAAGTGCGTACGAAGGGCCTGGAATACATCGAACTCATCCACTCCATTTGGATCAGCTAAACCTCTTTCATGTTTCTCCTCTTAGATTGGTCCTCGAATGACACTGCAGCTGGTGAAGATCCAGGAAGGGATGGGAGACGGGAACATTCTTTATCACTCCATGAGTGAGTGAATGTTTCTCCCAGCTTGTTTCTGCTTCAAATGTCCAGATGAAAATGATGACAATAGCATTATGAATTCTATGATTTATCTCTACAAGTAAACGCTTACTGATTCAACCTGGGCTCTTTATTTGCTTCATGCACATTTGGCACAATCCGTTTCTCAGACTGAATTATTTTTATTTATTTATTTTTTTTGTACCAGTTTCCAAGACAGAGGAAGAAATACAAGAGATCCTGAAGAGGAAGGAGGCGAAGATGAAGGAAAAGGAGGAACGGAGGAAAACACAGGAGCAAAACGTGGCAAAGAAGAAAGAGAAACGAGAAGAGAATAAGTAATTTGAACCTAAAATCCTTGGGCAGTTTTCTTTCTTTTTTATTAGTACTTGAAGTCTGTAAAATATTCTCATCTTGTAAGGAAAAAGAGTCTGGAAGGCATAAAGAAGAAACGAGCTGAAGCCGAGGAGGACAGTGAGGTGGAAGATCCAGGGATGCAGGACGATCGACCAGCCGCTGTTGAATCTGATGATGATGTGGAGTACTACAGACAGGCTGTGGGACAAGAACCAGACGAAGGTGAGTATTCAAGTCAGTCAGCTGTGCGCCGTTTGTTGCACTAATGTTTCTTTAAATCCTTAAAACGTATTTCTCGACAATGCAGATATGTTTCCGGGGGCCAAGAAGAGGCGGCGTCCAGAGAAGTCTCATGACCGCGCCAAGAAGAGAAAGCTGTCCCCTGGAAAATCCTCAAAACAACCAGATTCTAAATCACCAAAAAGAAAAGGTGCAGTTGGGCAGCACAGAGACAAAACAGGAAAAGCTCCTCATGGAAAAGGATGGAAGAAATCTAAAGATGAGGAGAAAGCATTTGGGAAGAAGAAGCGGCCTCCAGGAAAAGCATTTGGCTCTAAGAAATCTGGAGAGAGGGAAAATAAATTTCCACGCAAAAACTTTGATGGAAAGAAAAACAAGGACAAAACATTTCAGACAAAAGGTCACAAAGGTAAGACTGCCCTCAAGAAGAAAGGTGCAGGTGGAAAGCAAGGCTTCACACGGACGAAAGGAAAGCGCTAAACTTTGCTTTTGTTTCCTCTTCTTTTGGACTCGGATGTAGTTCCTTCCAAAGGCAGCAGAAGGCAGCAAATGTATTTGCTCTTACTGCTTCAGTCTGAGGAAATATTTGAATTTGTTATTCAAATGAACAAACTGTAAAAAAAAAATATATCAGTTTATAGTTGTTGACTTCAGAACAAAAATAAAACATTTTTTGATTAAATATGCAGCTCTGAAGTTCTTGTCCTTTCATTGATTTGTGCATTTCATGAATGTTAAGTATTCTAATATAAAAGTGTTTTTGGTTTAGATTAACTTTATTGGGATTTTTTTTAAGCTTCTTCCTGAAACCTAATATAAAGGCTCTTAGTTAAGAATCAAATTTGAAGAACAAAGATTTAAGCATTCAACATAGTTAAAAGTGAATGTAAAGTATAAGGATGGGAAAATGACGGTTACATATTTGGTGTTACCAATAATCTGATGGCATTTTATAAATTTCTTTGAAAGTAAAGTAATCTGAACTACTGAAGCTAAGTTAGAGTTTAAAATGGTGAATCCAAGCAAAGAACTGCACTGGAAGGGAAAACTAAGATCTAGGTTAAGATGTATGACTAATGCACCATAAAACCAGAACATTCTGGCAATCATTTGTAAATGCTGTTGAAAATGTTTTAACACTTTCAGATTTAAATGTTAAATAAACAGATTCAAATGACTTGCACACAACATTTTGCTGTCATCTGGCAGCAAACCACACTAAAAATAAAATTTTAACCACTTCCCTAATGAGTCTAAAGTAAGTTTAGACTCGTTACAGATGACATTTTGAGAACTATCTGCTTGTGCACTGATGCTTCAGAAATGTTTTTTTTTTGTTCAGTGGCTCCACTTTCAAATGCAGCTTTGCTCAGAGAATTAGTCACAACCCTAAAAGATTAAATGCTTCCTTGTAGATTTTATTTAGGCCATAGTGGGCTTTAGCAAGCCAATCATGGTTGCATCTATTTTTCACTTGCAAATAGTTATTCTACCAAACTCGTTTCTGATTTAGATTATTTTTGATTTATTAAATGTGCATTTTTATTATTTTGTAATTTAAGTATTTTTATTCCATGGGAAAATCTGCAGATGGTAATTGACCATCTCTTCATTTTTAGTCTTTAGTACAAAGTCGCTTTCTAAATGAAGCTCTGACACGAACTAGGTTTTTTATGGCAATATTGACAAATGCATGGTGCTGGTGTCATCACAGCTCAGTTTTCCTTCTGCATCTTGCACAATGCAAGCCGGAGCACAAGGAAGTGACTCTCATGTTATTCTGAGCTGTTCATCACTCACTCATTAGCGGAGCATGATTGAGGAGCAATTCCTGTCTTCAGCCTTTTCATAAAATATTGAATTACAGCTGAAGGAAGTTTGCATGCCTGCCTTTTGGTAAGCTGAAGTTATTTTTACTTCTTGATTGAAATCTGTATACACTTAATATTTTCCTCCATTTTTATTTTTAGAGAACACAACATGGCAGTCAACTTCTCTGAATGTGAGAAGTTTCAGATTGGCCTGCTTCCTGCCATGTATGGAGTTGAGTTTGCTGTTGCCTTGGTAGGAAACACATTTGCACTGTGGCTGCTGCTCATCAGAGAAAAACGCAACTGGCACTCCGGTGTTGTCCTCTCCTGTAACCTGGCCATCAGTGACCTGCTGTACGTCCTCACCCTGCCTCTGCTGATTGTCTACTACGCACTGGGGAAACACTGGGTGTTCGGCGAGGCCGTGTGTAAAATCGAGAGGTTCCTTTTCACCTGCAACTTGTATGTGAGCATTTTCTTCATCATGACAATAAGCGTGAACCGCTGCGTGAGCATCGTGTGCCCTTTCTTCACCCGCTCATATGTGGAACCTTTCCATGTCAAAGTCATCAGTGCCGTCTTATGGATTACTGTTGGAGTCTTCTCCAGCCCTGTGTTGAAGTTTGCTTCTCTTTGTACACACAGTTACGATAACAACACGTTATGTGTGACTTTCTGTTACAGAAAATCTAACGAGACATCTGACTTTATCTACAAAGTGTTCCTTGCTGTTTTTGGCTGTCTTGTTCCTTTCATAGTAACTTTCACTTCTTACTGTGTGTTGTTTCGGGTTGTGTGGAAAAATGCCAACATAACGACACTGGAAAAGCGTAAAGTTGCCTTGTTAGTCTTATCAGTGATTGTCCTCTATGCTGTTTCCTTTGTGCCCTACCATTTCTACCAAGTCTATCATGTGTATTTGAGGAAACATAACCCCCAAAACACAAACTGTTGGGTCTACAATATGTACCAAGTGTCCAAGGGACTGGCAACGCTGAACATGTGTATCCATCCGATACTCTACATGGCTGTGTTTGACAGTATTAGAGTAGCATGCTGTGGAAAGAGTTCAGAGGACAACACAGAAGGATGAGGAAGTAGAGCCTAGTTCCAGACTAAACATGACTTTGCTGCATGTATCTTTGTAAAATGCATCCATGTCACAGCTCTGTGCTAAATACATTTAATCACATCTGTTTGTAATAAAGATTTTTCTTTTTTTTTTTCAAAGTTTTCCTCATTTTATGCATTACATGTAATTTATATAAATGGGATCAAATGTGTTTTCACTTTTTTGTCAAACTTAATGTTTCAGGTCATGCAACAAGTTTACATATCAGATAGAGTAAACACAGGATGCAGTTTCCAAATTATTATTTCAGTTACTAAAAGACAAAAAAATATGTCAAACCAAATGCTCTGTGAAAAAAAATATTGTTCCCCTTGATAAATCCTAAGTTAACTTTGATACAGCATGTTTTTCACAGATTAAATGAATTACTATGTGCAGAATGAAGAAAACGCTTATTGAAAACTTGTAGGTTAAATTCAGACTTCTGCCCAAGTCCCTCTTGAAAATGAGATCTAAATCTCAATGTGGTTTTACCTGGTTAAATAAAAGCACAGCATGGTGTTAAAATACAAAATGTTAATTATTTTATCTTCCTGCATTTTGCAGGAAAATAAAACAATTAACATTAAATATAGATTTACTGCAATGAATCAGGAGATTTTTTTTTACAAAGAGTTAACTTTTGAGGCTGCCAAAGAAGCCCGAATTATCAACATTCAACATCCATAGTACTGATATGATCCTTGTTTTCATCGTCTTTTATTTATCAGTACAGGGAACTAAATTTTGGCCATAAACCTTTATTTTGAAAGAATTGGCGTCACGTTAGACCTTTATTGCGAAGTTTCAGTACCGGAAGTGTGTGCTGGAACTTCGCGGTGATCCTCTTGAAGCTAGGCTAACGGAGAGGATGCCGTCGATTGAATTCGACGAGTAAGTTTCACTAGTTTGAACTATTTCTGAGTGCTTTTACAGCATCTTACGAATATGAAACTGAATTTCCAACTCTGTCTTCTAGCTCCAAGCCCAGCTGGGCCGACCAGGTCGAGGAGGAAGGAGATGAAGGTAAGGAGCATTTGCGGAGCTACAGTTAGCACAGCTCCGGTATTTCGCAGTCCGCGAGGGGAGAGTGAGGCCCGGCTAGGCGGCGTCCACTTCCACGTGGTTGTAAGGCATTAAAAGCAAGTTAAATGTAACCACTGACTGATCGGAATAAACAGCTTTAAAGCGACATTGATCAGACATTTTTCTAACTATCCAAAATGGATCGATTGCTACCAGATGGTTAGAAAGCGGACATGAAGTGTTTTCCAGCATGTAAAAAAGGCTGCCAACGGAAGGCTACGTTTATAACACAGTTATGATAGACACTGCAAATTGATTAATATTTAGCTTCATTTGTCAATATAATCGTTTTGATATCTGGACAAAGCTAAAATAGGAGACATGACAACAAATGGAGAAGTTCAGCTTTCCTCTTAACAGTTTGACCACAAATAATTTGAATAGGTGATTATATTGTTTTCTTTATGATTGTCTGACATGTCACTCGTTTCTTATTCATAGGGATTTTTAAAAGTTTACTTTGAAGATAACTATTGAAGAATCTTCCCGAAGTCTGTAAATTTGGAAAAAAAATGTTTCTTTTTTCAACAGGCACTCTACCATCTCCAAAGGAAACCATTAAAGGAAACATAAAAACTCTCACTGAATATAAAATAGATGAAGACGGGAAAAAATCCAAGGTAAATTATTTGATTACATTATGTCACACTTAAAGTGAAAATATGCAATATATCTATAATTTTATATATCTTATTTTGTTACAGTAGTACTTTATTAATAAAATTATATTTTTCATGCATTTTTTTTGTTTGTTTGTTTGTTTTTGGTGTAGATTGTGCGGACCTTCAAGATCGAGACGCGGAAAGCATCCAAAGCTGTTGCCAGAAGGAAGGTTTGTATCAAAGGTGCTTTCACCTAATGAATGATCAACAGTAAAAGTTCCAAATGATGTAATATTTTTTCTCTCTTTTACTGCAGAACTGGAAGAAATTTGGCAACTCTGAGCGTGATGCACCAGGTCCTAATGTTGCTACCACGACAGTTAGCGATGACGTCTTCATGACCTTTATCTCCAGCAAAGATGTGAGAATCCGTTGCACTTATTAAACCCAGTCTTGTTCACAGCTTAATAATGAAAAATAACTTGAGGCATCCACAAAAGGATGAGAGAACAGTTTACAGTGGATTAGATCAAATGTTTTAGTAATCTGAACTTGCCTTCATTTGATTTTGAAAACAACTCCACAAACATTCCCACCTTGCTAATTAAATTAATAAGAAAAATCGAGTAATAATCTTCAACATACTTTGTGCAGAATCCGTAACTTGTCCCTGAGTTACTAATTTCTCTCATTTTTACAGGACTTAAATGCTCAAGATCAGGAAGAAGATCCCATGAACAAACTTAAGGGACAGAAGATTGTGTCCTGTCGTATTTGTAAAGGCGACCACTGGACAACTCGCTGTCCATACAAAGACACCCTGGGTCCCATGCAGAAGGAGCTGGCTGAACAACTGGGTCTTTCTACTGGGGACAAAGAGAAGTCTCCTGGCTCTGGTACCATTTGTTCACTATTTAATACTCAGATTATCATTATTATTTAAGAGTGGTTGTGAATTAAAACGTCTTGCTCTCCTGTTTTACCAGCTGAACCAGAACCTGTGCAGCCTGCGCAAGCCAAGACTGGAAAATATGTTCCCCCGAGTTTGAGGGATGGAGGAACGCGAAGAGGAGAGTCTATGCAGCCTAACCGCAGGGGTGAGTCTTAGTGAAGGCGCAAGGACTTTCTGCATTTTAGTTCTTGAAGAGCATCTAAATATTAATCTGATTAAACACTGAATAATTTACCCTTACAGCTGACGATAATGCCACAATCCGTGTGACCAACCTGTCTGAGGACACCCGTGAGACCGACCTGCAGGAGCTTTTCAGACCATTTGGCTCCATCTCAAGAATTTATCTGGCAAAAGACAAGAATACCGGACAGTCCAAGGTTGGCACTCACTGTTTTTTGTCTCTGCTGTGTTGATTACCATTCGTCATCATTGTGCTTTGGGATTTTATAGACTATGACCAGAAATGACAAGCACCAGTTTTCTGATCTAATGTTGTCTTTCTTGCAGGGATTTGCTTTCATCAGTTTCCACCGGCGGGAGGATGCAGCCAGAGCCATCGCAGGCGTGTCAGGATTTGGATATGATCATCTTATTCTCAATGTTGAATGGGCCAAGTGAGTTTACAGTTAATTTTGTGTATTAAGTTAATATGCTGTCTTTTTGCTAACTTTTTTTTCTCTTTGCAGACCTTCAAACAACTGAGGGATTCATTAGACTTTCAACATGCCAGATTTTGTCTCTGTAAAGTGTGACTATGATCTAAATAAAGATAAACTGTCACTACCTGCTTCTTGTATGTCCTTTTTGGCTTTGGCAGAGACTATAATATAAAGTTTTGTTTTACTTAAATCAACCATACACCTAGACTTAGATGTTTATATTTTAATAGTTTCTTAAAATTGAAAGAGGATTCTTTTCTTCTTTAAATTCTGCATAAAACCTCACCTGAGAGGAGTGGCTGTAAACATTCATAACATGACTTGGATAAGTTATTTCAGTGTTTACAAAAGGATAAACTTAGATCTTAAGTTTATTTTTTATTGTAGCTTAGTTTTTGAAAGACTTCTACAGTTGTCCAGGTTTCTGTCACTAACATGGCATTACAAGCTATTAATCGCTGGTAGTAATCAGACAAATTGAGTAAGAATGTGCACAACTAACCAAGATAATTAGTCTTGATGGGATTGTAAACCCATTCTGGAGATGGGCGGTTATCAAGGTGTGGGCTGTGGTTAGTAACACGCTCAAGAGTTGCCACACAGACATCCAAAATAATGGCCCAGATTCTCTGTTGAACCAAGGAAAGAGGAGAAAATGGACAGGAGTGAGGCTCAGTGGTCCAAAATCATTTTCAGACAAAAGTAATCTGGAAGTTAGATTGTGGACAGAGTGAGGTTCAGTTTTAAGTTCCCATCTAATCTTCTGGCACTGTCCATGTTTTATGAATTAATTTAAAGCTCTTCTTGTTTCCCTCTACTTATAAGCTGACTTAGCACCTTCCCAAGGACTTTCTGATGGTAGTGAAAGATGGTAGAAAACCCAAGCATACATGACAGTTTTACAGCACAGCTAAATCTATAATGAAACCAAGAAATGAAGTGGCAAACTGTATGATTTGCAATTTTTAAAAGAGAGGTATATGCTTAGAAGCTGGAGCTAACTCGCAAACAGAAATTTATAATCCGCTTATTAAATTTAATTATGTAAGGAGTAGATGCAGATGTAAATACCAAAACTAATTTTACTATTTGGTGCAAATATAGGATAAGAGGTCTGCACAAAGCTGCATCATCATTAGTGGTATTAATGCATTGATCCATTCAATCACATACAATTTCAGAAGAACTTTATTTGAAATATTAATATAAAATCTACATACAATTTGTTCCACATTGTTTTTATTCATGTTGTTAAATGTTCAATTAAGACTCAATATGGAATGATTACTACATAGTACATAGTGGCCACTTGGTGACAGCTGAAAGTCAAAATTACTTAAAAAGTATTCCAACATCAGCATTAAAACCTTTAAAACATGGAAATGGAGAAATTAATCAGAAACCTCCATCTTCTCTTGTTTGATATCTGAAAAAAAAAAGTGAATAAGTTTAAATTGTAAATGCAGGTTTGGAGAAATAAAGCAGACAAACCAAATTACCCACCTGCTGTAGCTTGTTCCTCCTTCATCCTGTCTGAGACGCATTTCTTAATCTCCAGGCCGATGGCTCTGGAGAGCGGGGGCGGGACAGCATTTCCAACCTGGGAAAAAGAAAACACACATTTCTGATCATGGCGATAAAGAGTTTATTACTTGATAATTTTATCACCTAATGTTAAATTGTTTGGGAAAATGCTTCTGTTAAAGAACATACCTGTCTGTGTTTGTCCAAGATGTTTCCAAAGAAGCGGTAAGTGTCGGGGAAGCCCTGAGAGCGAGCGCACTCCCTCACACTGACTACTCTG